ATGGAGGTGGCTATAAGTGTGGGATGGCCATAGGGTAGCTGGTTGGAGGTGGCCATAGGTGTGGGGTAGTTGGATGGAGGTGGCTATAAGTGTGGGATGGCCATAGGGTAGCTGGTTGGAGGTGGCCATAGGTGTGGGGTAGTTGGATGGAGGTGGCTATAAGTGTGGGATGGCCATAGGGTAGCTGGTTAGAGGTGGCCATAGGTGTGGGGCGGTTGGATGGAGGTGACCATGGGGCAGCTGAAGGAGGTGGCCATGGGTGGAGGGTTGCCACGGCTTGTCTGGAGGTGCCATCCACAGGGACAGGGCATCAGGATGGAGATGCCCATAGGTGCGGGGTGCCCATGGGGGTGCAGAGGTTGCCATGGGCTGCCTGGAGCCGGTACCCATTGCCCGCTCCCCATCCTCACCTCCTTGTGCCGCCGGCAGTGACGGACCTGGAGCTGCAGTTCCAGTACCGCGGGCGCCAGGCCTGCGTGCTCACCGTCAGCAACGCCCAGGGGTGCCGCCTGTTCCACGGCAGCCTGGAGCCCAGCGCCGCGCAGGAGGAGCTCTTTGGGTCCCCGGCACTGGAGCAGGTCCGGTTCCCGGCCACCGACGGCATCCCCAATGAGAAGCAGCGTTTCTACACTCACCAGCTCCTGGATGCGCTGGACCGCGGCCTCGTCCTGGAGCTGCAGGGTCAGGACCTGTTTGCCACGCGCCTCTGCCAGTGCAAGGTGTTCTGGACGGGGCCCTGCGCCGTGCGCTGCACCGGTCCCAACCCCATCGAGAGGGAGAAGAAGACCAAGCTCTTCAGCCTCGAAGGGTTCCTCAATGGTGGGAGGAGAATGGGGTTACGTGAGGATGCTGGGAGGGATGGGGGGACATGGGGTGGTACGTGGGGATGGGGTTGTGATGGGGAGACAGGGACCAGTGGCCCATAGGGGTGTGGTAGGAGCAGAGTGGGGTGAGGGAACAGCAGGCAGAACATGGGAATGTGGTGGGACCAGGTTGGGATAGGGGACACCAAGTGGCAGACAGGGACTTGGTGGGGCCACGATGGGACAGTGGGACGAAAGGTGGCCCATAGGATGGAGTGGGACCAGACTGGGATGGGGGGACACCAGGCAGCATATGGGGATGTGGTGGGACACCACATGGCGTATAAGGGTGTGGTGGGACAAGGTTGAGATGGTGGACAACAGTGAGGATGGTGGTGGGATCAGGTTGGGATGGGGAACACCAGGCAGCACATAGGGATGTGGTGACACCAGTATGGGATAGGGGACATGAGGTGGCACATAGGGATGTGGTGACACCAGTATGGGATGGGGGACATGAGGCGGCACATAGGGATGTGGTGACACCAGTTTGGGATGGGGGACATGAGGTGGCACATAGGGATGTGGTGACACCATTATGGGATGGGGGACATGAGGTGGCACATAGGGATGTGGTGACACCAGTTTGGGATGGGATGAGGTGGCACATAGGGATGTGGTGGTGGGTGGGGGTGGGTGTGGGTGTGGTGGGACCATTATGGGATGGGGGACATGAGGTGGCACATAGGGATGTGGTGGGACCAGTATGGGATGGGGGAGATGAGGTGGCACATAGGGATGTGGTGGGACCATTATGGGATGGGGGACATGAGGTGGCACATAGGGATGTGGTGACACCAGTATGGGATGGGGAACATGAGGTGGCACATAGGGATGTGGTGACACCAGTATGGGATGGGGGACATGAGGTGGCACATAGGGATGTGGTGACACCAGTATGGGATGGGGGACATGAGGTGGCACACAGGGATGTGGTGACACCAGTATGGGATAGGGGACATGAGGTGGCACATAGGGATGTGGTGACACCAGTATGGGATGGAGGAAATGAGGTCGTACATAGGGATGTGGTGACACCAGTTTGGGATGGAGGACATGAGGTGGCACATAGGGATGTGGTGGGACCACACTGGGATGGGGAGACACCAGGCAGCATGTGGGAATATGGTGGGACACCATGTAGCACACAGGGGTGCAGTGGGATCAGGTTGGGATGGGGGACATCAGGTAACACATGGGGACATGGTGGGACCAGGCTGTAATGGAGGACACTAGTGTGGATGGTGTTGGGACCAGGTTTGGATGGAGGACACCAGGCAGCAGATAGGGATGCAGTGGGTCCAGGTTGGCATGGGGGACACTGTGTGCCACACAGAGATGTGGTGGGACAAGGCTGGGATAGGAGCACACCACCGGAGATGCCGGTGGGACGCACCAATGGGATGTCCCATCCTGCCCCTCACCATGGTGTCCATCCCCTGCAGGCCTCATCCTCTTCCAGAAGGGCCAAACCACCACCCCCCCACCCTTTGAGATCTTCCTGTGCTTTGGGGAGGAGTGGCCGGACCAGAAGCCCAAGGAGAAGAAGCTGATCACGGTGCAGGTGAGGGGCCAGGGAGGACATGGGGGGGCAGAGGGGGGGGTATCCCGGGGTCGCCCCATGCTGACCGTGCTGTGATTCCCAAGGTGGTGCCGGTGGTGGCGCGGCTGCTGCTGGAGATGTTCTCTGGGGAGTTATCCTGGTCGGCCGACAGCATCCCGCTGCACATCTCCCATCCGGACCTCAAGGATAAGATGGTGGAACAGTTCAAGGAGCTTCACAAGCTTTGGCAGAGCCAGCAGCGGCTGCCACCACCACCACCACCACCACCACCACCACCAGTGGTGGCACAAGCAGAGTCCGGCCCCACCGCCGGGACCTGGGTGCTGCCCCAGTGATGTGGGGGGGACACAGGGAGGTGGAATCACCAGCGTGAAGGCCTTTGAGGTGACCCTCCATCCTGTCACCATCCAGGGTGATGGAGCTGGGGCCACCCATCCTGATCCTTTGGGTGCTACCACCTCCTTGGTGCGGCGTGGAGGTGGGATGAGGCCACACGGTGGACCTGGAACCCCCTCAAGGTGGTGGTGTGGCCACCAGCTCAAGCTCCCCTCAATGAGGAAGCTCCCATGAGCTCGGAAAGATCCAGGGTGGGATTTGGGGTTTTCAGTTCTCTTTGTTCCAGGTTTTTTGTGGGTTTTTTATTGTTCTCGAGATGGCTACAACACCCCTGGAGGGCCCAGCATGCGCCCCGGCCCCGGCCCCAGCCCCACGCGCAGCTCCACCCCGCCACGAAACCCAGAGAACCCCAAATCAAACCAAAGAAAACCCCAAAACAAGAAGACAAAACCCCAAAATAGAATATATATTTCAAGAGTCTGGCCTGCCTGCGTCTTCTCCAGGAGGTCACCACCAGGCAGGACGCGGCAGCGCAGGGAGGGCCGAGCCGTGGCCTTCCACTAAACCTACTTTAAACCCTGACCTTGCCTCAAATAATGCTCAATTCTTGCTTTGCTTGGTCATTTTTTTGCTGTTTTCCCAATTATTTTTGGTGTGTCTCCATAGCACAAAGTTCTTCCTCTCCGTGCTCTTCTACCGAGCCAATCCGTTTCCTTCTGGGTGGTGTTTTGGTGGTGGGGGGGTTGGTTGAGCTGGTTGTTGAGTGGATCATTGAGTTCAGTTGGTTGCTCTGTTGGTTGTGTGGTTGAGTCGGTTGGGTTTGTTGAGTGGACTGGTTGACTTGTTGGCTGGGTTGGTTGAGCTGGTTGTTGAGTTGAGTGGGTCATTGAGTTCAATTGGTTGCTCTGTTGGTTGCGTGGTTGAGTCAGTTGGGTTTGTTGAGTGGACTGGTTGACTTGTTGGCTGGGTTGGTTGAGCTGGTCATTGAGTTCAGTTGGTTGCTCTGTTGGTTGTGTGGTTGAGTCGGTTGGGTTTGTTGAGTGGACTGGTTGACTTGTTGGCTGGGTTGGTTGACTGGTTGTTGAGTTGAGTGGATCATCGAGTTCAGTTGGTTGCGTGGTTGAGTCAGTTGGGTTTGTTGAGTGGACTGGTTGACTTGCTGGATGGGCTGGTTGAGCTGGTGGTTGAGTTGAGCAGGTCATTGAGTTCAGCTGGTTGCCCTGTTGGTTGCATGGTTGAGTCGGTTGCGTTTGTTGAGTGGACTGGTTGACTTGCTGGATGGGCTGGTTGAGCTGGTTGTTGAGTTGAGCGGGTCGTTGAGTTCAGTTGGTTGCTCTGTTGGTTGCATGGTTGAGTCGGTTGGGTTTGTTGAGTGGACTGGTTGACTTGCTGGATGGGTTGGTTGAGCTGGTTGTTGAGTGGATCATTGAGTTCAGTTGGTTGCTCTGTTGGTTGCGTGGTTGAGTCGGTTGGGTTTGTTGAGTGGACTGGTTGACTTGCTGGATGGGCTGGTTGAGCTGGTTGTTGAGTTGAGTGGATCATCGAGTTCAGTTGGTTGCGTGGTTGAGTCAGTTGGGTTTGTTGAGTGGACTGGTTGACTTGCTGGATGGGCTGGTTGAGCTGGTTGTTGAGTTGAGTGGGTCATCGAGTTCAGTTGGTTGTGTGGTTGAGTCGGTTGGGTTTGTTGAGTGGACTGGTTGACTTGCTGGCTGGGTTGGTTGAGCTGGTTGTTGAGTTGAGCGGGTCGTTGAGTTCAGCTGGTTGCTCTGTTGGTTGCGTGGTTGAGACGGTTGGGTTTGTTGAGTTGATTGGTTGACTTGGTGGCTGGGTTGGTTGACTGGTTGAGTGGATTGGTTGGTTGAGTTGGGCTGGTTGGATTGGTTGGGGTTTCTTCCCCCCCATCCCTATTGTTTGGTTTCTCATTTCGGGAGCCGACCTTCAGGAAGCGAATCTGCCGGGATACTCGCGCTGTCCTCCCGCCGGCTACAGGCAGTGGAAGAGCCCCGTGGCCACGATGAACTTTGCTGATGGTGGGACACATTCTTGGGGTTTTCTTCGTTTCCTGTCTTTGAATTCAAAGACATTCCTGGGCAAGTTGGGAAGAGAAGGGCAAGTCCCTCTTCCCATCTGCCTCTTCCGGGTTGCCACAGCCCCATGGATGTGACCATCACCCACTTGTGGTCTCGGGGGTGGCTCTTACCTGGGAGACAGGCGCCATGCCGGAGCTATCGGAACAGGCGGGTGAAGTCCCTCAGAGCCCAACAGACTTGTCTACATTCCTCACCGCTGCAAGACAACGGGCAGGACATCAGGGGGACATCGTGGGGTGACGTTAAGGGGATGGTTGGGAAGTGGGAATGGTGTCCTGCACCCGGCATGGGACATCTTGATGGTATGTGATAGTGACCAGGAGCATGGCAGTTTGGCACTGGGATGGTGGGCGATGGCAAATGTTGGATAAAATGTGGTCAAAAGCCCCCATGACCATCACTGGAGGGGACACATAACATGAACCCAGCTCTGAAGGGCTCAGAAGACCTGTTCAGTGATGGAAAGGGCAACACTGTGTCCCTCAAAGCAAGGCTTTGGGAGTGTTCAAAGCCTGGTTGGACCAGATAAACCTGGTCAGTGATGGAAAGGGCAACACTGTGCCCCTCAAAGCAAGGCTTTGGGAGTGTTCAAGGCCTGGTTGGACCAGATAAACCTGGTCAGTGATGGAAAGAGCAACACTGTGTCCCTCAAAGCAAGGCTTTGGGAGTGTTCAAGGCCTGGTTGGACCAGATAAACCTGGTCAGTGATGGAAAGGGCAACACTGTGCCCCTCAAAGCAAGGCTTTGGGAGTGTTCAAGGCCAGGTGGAACGGGGCTTGGAGCAACCTGCTCTAGTGGAAGGTGTCCCTGCCTGCATCAGAAGGTTGGAACTGGATGTTTTAAAGTCCCTTCCAACCCAACCCATCCCATGACTCTCACCTCGTGACCTGCTTGTGGAAGTCCGTGAGCTGTTTGTGTGTGACCTGGATGGCTCCTCCCGTCGTTTCCTTTGGTAGACCCTTCAGTGAGTTCTCCAGCCAGCGACAGAAGGTCTGCGGGAAGCAGAAGGACATTAACTCAGGGTATGGAGCCACATCCAGCTCCTGCACCTCAGTTTGGGGAAGTTTAGGGATCCCTCCATGCCCATCACCACCTCCCCATGCTGTCCCCTCACCGGCCGGTCGATCTGCATGATCTCCCAGAGCACCTCGGCGACGTCAGGCAGGGTGTAGGGTGGGAGGCAGAAGCAGCACGTGTGCAGGAGCTGGTTGACAAGCTGCTGGCCCAGTTGGTTCATCACCTGGTTGATGAGCTCCTTTCGCACTTCAAAGTCTTCCTCGTGCTGCGGGAGGAAGGAGAAAGGGGGTGGGAAGAGGCTGGGGATGGAGACATGGTGCTCCTTGCTTGATGGCAGCAATTACAACAGTGGGACAACCCGCATGAGGGACCACAGTGGCAAAGGATGATGAGGATGGCATTCCAGCTCCATGGAGGAAGAGCTTCCCCACCGAGGAACACAACTCACATCGTTGGCCACCCCGGTGTGGATGAGATCCCGTAGGAACTTCATGACGCTGCAGTTGGCATCCCGGTGATCCAAGGTGGTGGCAGCAATGGCCCATTGCAGGATGGGGATCATCACCTGGCTCCGTAGCAAGGTGACAGGGCTGCGCTGGATAAACCTGGCCAGGCAGAGCACACGCAGTCACCACCACCCTGATCACCCCCAGGAGAAGGCAGGACCTTCTCCCACTCTATGACTGCCCCCATGGGTGCTTGAGGACCAAAGAGATAGGGCTGGGGTGTCCTGGTGCAGCAGAAGGTGGTTACCTGGCTGCTAATCGAAAGAGGTCATCCACGGTGTCGGGGTGGTTCTGAAGGCCGTTGGGTTGCTCTAGGAGCTGGAAGGTAGGGATGCACAGTGCCTAGGACAAGGGTTGTGGGGAATCCATTAGTTGGGATTACACACCAAACTGCTCTGATCTCTGACAGGGAGATGTCCAGCATGGACCACAACAGAGTGGATCAGGCCCCGGGTTCTCCCAACAGCCACCATTTACATTGGATATTAGGAATTCCTTCACCCAAAGGGTTTGTCCAGCATTGAAAGAGGCTGCCCAGGGCAGTGGTGGGGTCACCATCCCTGGAGGGGTTTAAGAGACGAGTAGATGTGGCACTTGGGGACATGGTTTAGTGGTGGGCTGGACAGTGCTGGGTTAATGGTTGGACTCAATGGTCTTAAAGATCTTCTCCACCCTGTCCATTGGGTGGTTGAGGTGGGAACCCACCTGCAGCATGTCGAGCAGCCCCTGCCTGCAGCCTTCCTCCATCCCATACTCGTCCACCAAGATGCTGCCCAGGTAGAGGAAACAGGAGTGCTGGTGGGCCCTGTAGACATTCACCATCTGTGGGGAGACACAGGAGACACTCCATGGTGAGCCATGGGAGGATGAAGCCGTTTGGTTGCCTCCCAGCATCTCAAACAGGATCTCCATGATGTTCCCACTATCTCCCTTGAGAAAATCCAGCTCTTGCTGAGCACCAAGACAACATCCCAGCTCGAAGGACCTTCCCCCAGCCCCATGGGATGGTCTGAAGTACTTGCTCTGGTCTCATCTGGTCCTTCAGAGCATCTCCATTCTGCAGCTCCAAAGCCAACACAGCTTTTCCTTGCTTTTCACCCTTCCTTAGCCCCATGGAAGCAGGAAGAGGACACCCAACGTTGGACTGAAGTCACCTCTTCAAGGAGCCCCACCATGTAGAGTTTCACACATACCTTTCGAATCACAGCTATACCTACAGGGCTCTGGCCTACCGAGCATCCATCAGGCAGAGCTCAGCTCTTTCCTGCAGCTTAAAGGCTCTCTCTGCTCCTCAAGGATTTATGTAGGAGCTTCCCAAGAGCACCAGCATCTACCACAGCCTGGCCATGCACCGCTGCCCACATGACCAGCTGGAGACTGGGAACAACTGATGTCCCTAAGGGGTTCGTGTTGGAATGATCCTGTTCAGCATCTTTGTCATGACATGGACAATGGCATCGAGCAGCCTCAGTGATGACACCAAGCTGTGTGGTGTGGTCAACACGGTGGAGGGAAGAGATGGGATCCAGAGGGACCTGAACACACTTGAGATGTGACCAGTACTTGAGCTCAGAACCCCGTGTGCTGGGCTGCATCAAAAGGAGTATGAGCAGCAGGTTGAGGGAGGGGATCCTGCCCCTCTGCTCTGCTCTGTGAGACCCCACTTGCAGCACTGGGTGGAGTTCTGGTGTCCTCAGCATCAAAAGGACATGGAGCTGTTGGAGTAAGTCCAGAGAAGGCCACAAGGATGATCAGGGGCTGGAGCACCTCCTGTATGGAGACAGGCTGAGAACACTGGGGCTGTTCAGCCTGGAGAAGAGAAGCTGCGTGGAGACCTCAGAGCAGCTTCCAGTGTCTGAAGGGGGCTACAAGGATGCTGGAGAGGGGCTCTTCATCAGGGACTGCAGTGATAGGACAAGGGGTGATGGGTTCAGACTGAAACAGGGGAAGTTCAGGTTGGAGATAAGGGAGAAGCTCTTCCCTGTGAGGGTGCTGAGGCGCTGGCACAGGGTGCCCAGAGAAGCTGTGGCTGCCCCATCCCTGGCAGTGCTCAAGGCCAGGTTGGACACAGGGGCTTGGAGCAAGCTGCTCCAGTGGAAGGGGTCCCTGCCCGTGGCAGGGGTTGGAACTGGATGAGCTTTAAGGTCCCTCCCAACCCAAACCAGGCTGGGATTCTGTTGTTCTAAGAGGTTTCTGGATGCAAACCCCAAGCCAGGGGTGTCAGGGGGGGTGGGAAGGTGCTGAGGAGGTGGTGTCCATACCTGGGTGACGAGGGGCTGCAGCAGGGCAGCAGAGCCTTTGCCCACGCAGCGCACGGCAAAGCGCAGGCAGCGGCAGCACCGCTCCACGATGCGGTTATCAGCACTGTGCTTGTTCAGGGTCTCCGAGAGCACGGGCCAGATCTGGGGTGGAGACATGGGAGAGGGGTTAAAGCTCAAGCTGGTACACCGGGTATCCCCATCACATCACCCTCGTCCCTGTACCCTCATGTCCCAGACCTGGGGGCACCTCTGTTCTGGGACACATAAATGGAAGAGTAACAACCTCAAGAGTAGGTTAACACCTCCAGTGCTCCAAACCTCACAAGAGAAGGGACATTAAAGAACCTGGGACATTCCCAGAGCCCAGTGGGGTTTGAAGACCCACATCCTGCCCCAATCCCTGTTTCCAGGAGGGAAGAAGGTCCACCAGCAGCTCAGAGGAGCACAACACCTCCAGTGCTCCAAACCTCCCATAAGCAGGGACCATAAAGCATCTGGGGCATTCCCAGTGCCAGGTGGGGTTTGAAGACCCACATCCTGCCCCAATCCCTGTTTCCAGGAGGGAAAAAGGTCCACCAGCAGCTCAGAGGAGCACAACACCTCCAGTGCTCCAAACCTCCCATAAGCAGGGACCATAAAGCATCTGGGGCATTCCCAGTGCCATGTAGGGTCTGAAGACCCAAATCCCCGCTTCCAGGATGGAAGGGGCTCCACCAGCAGCTCCTTTCCCCAGTGCAGAGGTGATGTTGGAGACTTCCATCCATCCCCCTGCAGAAATTCCTTCCCCCCCAGCACTTACTTCCTGAATGACTTTTTGGCACGGATGGATCTGTCCATTTTCTACAATGGGGTTGGTGTGTCTGTGGAAAGGAGTGAAGAGTCCATGTTATCTTTATCAAACGCGTGGCTTTGGTGGCCAGAAGATGGGTTTGGAGCCCCAAGCACCCACCAAAGCTGCTGGAAAAAGACCAAAAACTGCCTTACAGGGGCTGGATAACCTTGAACATGTAAAGAAGCCCGTAAGAAGAAGAACTCCAATCTTTTTGGGTCTAGGGGGAAATGGGTTGAAGTGCTGAGATGGTCAGGTTGGACTCACAGCTCACGTCCCAGCCCCTTGCTCCTTACCTGAATATGACAGCAAGTCGATCCAGGGGCACAGTAGGGTCTGAGGAGAGGCCATTGCTTGGCTCCTGAGAGAGCAGCTGGAAAACAAGGGAAAACGATGGGATCTGGGGTATTTGGGCAGCCCCACTCCAAATGAAGACTGAATAAACACTGCCTGGCACCAGAGCCCACCAGCAGCACCTGCACATCTCCTCTGGACCCCAGCAGAGCAGACAGCTCCTCAGCCCTAGCCTCAGCCACATGCATGAGGTTACTCTGAAAGCTCAGAGCAGCTTCTTTTTGCCTCCTCCCCATTCAGAACCTATTCAAAGGGGTCTCTGAAGGAGAATGGAGAAGAACCAAGGTGGAAGAGAAGCCTGGGAGCTCCTCAGGAGCTCTGAGGAACCCCTCTTGTGCAGCTCCAGGTCACCCTGAAAAGACACAGGATGGACACGTCCTTCTTCCTTGCCATTACCTGAGATTTCTACTCTGTTATCATTGATCTGCATGGAAGTGTCACTAAGGGCCACCATGTTTTGGCAACAGGCAGAATGTGACCTTCTGGGACTATGTGTGCATAGGGGAGTCAAATTCCCATGTTCTCCATCATGGAGATGCAGGGTAAGAGCTGCCAGCTGCATTCAAGGTGGCTTCAGGAAGGCTTTTTGGCTTCTAGCACCTAAACTGACTTCTAGGGACCATTTTGTTCTCATTTAACCCATCCCATGCTCTTCCAGCTGCACAGTTCTCATCCAGGAGAGACTCAGGGACAAGTTGGGTCTCAGTTCTGGTCTCTTCATACACCTCTGGCTTTGAGGACACACAATTGCTGCAGCAGATCAAGTCACCACAGCAGCTTGATGGTCTCCATCATCCCATTCAAACCAGTGATGGACAAGGAGGAGGTCAAGGTAGCTCCAACCAGGACGTACCTTCTTTAGGGCCATCACTTGCACGGCACAGAGTTCACTGAGGCATTCTGCTATCTTCTCCAAGGGGAGCCTGGCCAGGACCAAGGCTGTCCCTGCAAGGCAAGAGGAGACAGGCTCAAGGAGCAGGAATGCAACTGGGGAATGTGGCTGGGGAAACACAGCATGAGGGAGGTTCCCAAAGAGCTCTAGGGAAAAAGCTTCCTGAGACAGAAACATGCTTCTGTGCAGCCTGTTCCTGGATTGAACCAGACACCAAAATACCTCTGTAGGGTGGGAAGAAGGAAGGGAAGCTGGAGAGTGGGAGAACTTGAACGATCCTTGACAGGACAAGAGGGAATGGGGACCTGCCATAGGGGAGACTGAGCTGAGCTCTTAGGCAGAAGCTCTTCCCTGTGAGGGTGCTGAGGCGCTGGCACAGGGTGCCCAGAGAAGCTGTGGCTGCCCCATCCCTGGCAGTGCTCAAGGCCAGGTTGGACACAGGGGCTTGGAGCAAGCTGCTCCAGTGGAAGGGGTCCCTGCCTATGGCAGGGGTTGGGACTGGATGAGCTTTAAGGTCCCTTCAAACCCAAACCATTCCAGGATTCTATGATTTCAAAGCATTTTCCTCTTACATTTCAAGTTCAGAGCAGGGATGGAGATAGATGATAAACCCATGAAGTGTCTTTTCTACCTCCTAACCGAAGACTAAAGGGGACACATGGGGTGCCTCAGGACAAGCTGAACCACTCTCATCAAAGAAAACCCATGTGAAAACAGGCCTGAACCCCAAAACACCCCCAAACTTGATGTACTCACCCTTGAGGAGCCCCACAGCAGCCTCTGGGGAGAGCGTGAAGGAGTCGAGGGAGCGGGCGATCTCCAGCAGCCCATTGAAGTGCTGAGCCATGTGGTCCCGGCACACGGAGCAGATGTTGTGGATGGCCTTGGCTGCCGCTGAAGCCAACCTCCTGTCACAGAGCCCCTTCATCAGGTACCCCAGCACGGGATCTGCGGAGGGAGGAAGGTGAGGAGGGTCCTGGAGCCCCTGCTTGGCCACGGGGCAGTGCAGTGGGGTGGCAGGAGGAGACTCACCCAGGAACTGAGGGTTTCTGTCCACCACCTCGCTCATCTCGCCCACCAGCTCGATGCTGGTGTAGCGCACGGCCGTGTGCACGGTCTCAGGGAGGCGAACCACCCCCTCCAGCACCTCCACCAGCGTCGGGTTGTTCTCCCTGGGCAGGGGAAGAGGCAGCCAAGGTGGGCTCCATGGGGAAGGTGTTGTAATGAACATGGTCTGAGTGATGGGATGCTTGGAACCAGCTGGGCAAACAGTGTGGTGGGGTGGGTGTTGTTGATGTGGGTCGGGTACAAGCCTCCTGGGAGACCTTAGAGCAGCTCCAGTGCCTAAAGGGGCTGCAGGAAAGCTGGAGAGGGCTTGGGACAAGGGCCTGTAGGGACAGGCCAAGGGGAATGGTTTGAACCTGCCCGAGGGGAGACTGAGCTGAGCTCTTAGGCAGAAGCTCTTCCCTGTGAGGGTGCTGAGGCGCTGGCACAGGGTGCCCAGAGAAGCTGTGGCTGCCCCATCCCTGGCAGTGCTCAAGGCCAGGTTGGACACAGGGGCTTGGAGCAAGCTGCTCCAGTGGAAGGGGTCCCTGAAGGTTGGACTCAATGATCTTTAAACCCCCTTCCAATCAAAACCATTCCATGATTCCATTATTCAAGTCCGCAGCGCAGGCAGAAGAGACCCAAGAAGGCCCAACTGCTTCACACAGTTCCAGCTCCATGCTGGACCCATATTCCAGGCCAGGAAGCTGAAACCTCCAAGAAAGCCATGCTATGATTCCATATTAGTGGTGTCCCTACAAAACTCACTTGGAGGCAGGTCCTGACCCCACAGCCCCTACAGACACGAGCAGTGTGGTCATCACTCACTGGTCAACGCTCTTGGCTATGGAGGCCATGATGAAGAGGACAGCTTCCGTCACCTCCCAGGGGGGATTCCCATCCTTCAGCGTGGCATAGAGCTGCAAGGGAGAGGACTGGTCACAGAAGAGGCTACAAACACATCTCAGGGATATGTGGTTGTGAATCCCACCCTGTTAGAGCACCACGTGCTCCTCATCTCCTCCCATACACCTGAAACACCAGGCTCCAGGTGTGGAGCTGCACATTCCATGCACAACCTTGGAATGTTGGGACCACGGGAGCTTTCCCATGTGGTGTGGGACCTCCTGCTCCTCCAGGAACTGTCCCCGCCACCCGCTTCACTTGTGCATGAGATGTGTGTGACCTCCTCCTCATCCCAAAGGCCATCAGTGCTTCACGATGCTCCTGCAAACCCACCTGAGCAAAGCACTCCACTGAGCCCACCAAGAAGATGAGGTCTTTGACCAGGTCCGAGACCCGCATCCGGAACTCCCCAAAGTCATCTGTCTCCTCTGGGACACCTTCCTAAAGGGATGAATAACAGGGTGTGAAGCTCAGAGGCATCCGGGTTCTCACTCAACCACAGAAGATGATCGCAGAAGATCCATCATTCCTGCCCTCTTCTCCCTGGATCAAGCTACTGAAGGGGGTTTGAAGTGTGTGCATTGATGTGCATTGATGATTGAAGGGTGTGCATTGATCCATGCACACACACTGTGGATTCCTGCTCCAACACATCGATGAAGGGATGGGAATCAAGGGGATGAGGAGCTGGAAGGAGAATAAAGCACCCCACAGGGAGGAAAAGCTGTGACTTATGCAAGCTTTATCCCAACTAAAACACCCGGGAGCAGGGAATGATGCAAGTCCCAAAGTGGGAACAACCTGGGGGAAGGTGGGAGAGGGTCATCCTGCAGGAAGCAGACACCAGGTAGCTCTGTTAGGACAAGACTTCATGAGAAGAGCTTTCACACAACAGTTCTCATCGCTCCCAATTGCCCCTCTCTGCTGTAACCCCGGAGTCCTACAGCTATGGAGGGTCAGCAGTGAGGATGGGCACATCCCACCATCCCAGCTGCTTCCAGAGGGAAGGAAAACCAAGGCAGCCTTACATGGTCTGAGTCAAGCTGGCAGTGTCTGGCCAGGGCATGGAGAAGGCGTTGGATGTAGGCTTTGAAGATGCTGTGGATGATGGCATCGTCCGTCTTGTAGAGGTGCTCCCCAAGTCTGTACCAGAAGTTAAAGGAAATTTCTACCACCTATTTGGGGAGAAAACTGTTGTTACCAACACAATTCTCTCTCCTCTTTGCTCTGCTGATGCTCCCTAAACCCTCCCTGCATCTGGGGTACCACCAAGTCCCATCAGTGCTTCACCACGAGGGGCAGCTCCAAAAGGGATGTGAAACAGGCTGAGCGCACCTGAAAGGCTCTGAGCAGTGAAGCTCTTCTGCAGACCTAACACTGGAGCAGAAGAAACACCTCTTCCTGCCATCACTTCCTTTCACATCACTAAACCTGCCAGGGGGAGGTTTGCTCTGCCTGATCCTAGCAGGGTTTGTGCCTTTCTGCTGTCTCTGCTCATCCATTGGGAGGTGTTTAACACTTAGCCTGACCCAATGAGCTACAGAGCATTTGGCTCTCCTCACCTCAGCTACGTTGGTGGAAGGATTTCACCACCTGCAGCTGATCCTCACCATCCATGGCCTTGCATCTGATGGCCTGGTGGCCACCATGGGGTTGGGCTAACAACATGAGGGAGATGGCAACCCCACACAGGAGCAAAGATCTCCCAGAGAGCAGCTCAGGCTGGAAGGGGATGTTGCTCCAAAGCCTGTTCTGGAGAGGGCATTAGCTCAGTCTAGACCCACCTCCCATCCATCACTTGAGGGGCTGCATCCCTCCCACAGTGGGACCTTAATAACAGAAGGAAGGATGAGCATCCTAAAAATCCCAGTTGGCACCCCTCTGTTCCCCACATTGGTTTGAGCCCCTCCACAAAGGAACCTCCATCCGCTGAAGTCTTCCAGTGCCTAAAGGGGCTGCAGGAAAGCTGGAGAGGGGCTTGGGACAAGGGCCTGTAGGGACAGGCCAAGGGGAATGGCTTGAACCTGCCTGAGGGGAGACTGAGCTGAGCTCTTAGGCAGAAGCTCTTCCCTGTGAGGGTGCTGAGGCGCTGGCACAGGGTGCCCAGAGAAGCTGTGGCTGCCCCATCCCTGGCAGTGCTCAAGGCCAGGTTGGACACAGGGGCTTGGAGCAAGCTGCTCCTGTGGAAGGGGTCCCTGCCCGTGGCAGGGGTTGGGACTGGATGGGCTTTAGGGTCCCTTCCAACAGAACCCATCCCATGCAATCATCCAGGGATCAACTAGGATTTAGCAAAGCTTTGGAAGAATAAACTGGGGTTTTAAGGAGCTCATCTTACACATAAAGCTCTGTACTTAAGGCAGGGTTATTTGGGGAGCTCTGATGCGCAACGTCCTTTCACTTCCTCAGAGGGCAAAGTTCCCCTGAGCCACACTGCAACCCCCACAGAACTTCACTTGCACACGTGCAGAGAACCCCAAGGGAGGGTTTTGGTGCTGTACTCACAGCCCCACAAATCCAGAGGCTGGGAAACGGAAGCAGAGCTGGATTCCTGCCTCACAACCCGGAGCTGGTGACCAAAGCCAGCAGCTCACAGGAATGGGGCCCTACAAGAGGAAGGTTTCCTTCCTGCTGACTCAACTGTGGGGCAGTGAGAGCTGGTGAGGAGAGGAACCCGGGCTCACCTCGTACTGCGGGTGACCGGCACAGATGAGCAGCAGCTCCAGTGTCCTCAGGTCCCCCAGCCCTTGGCCTGGGGTGCACACTATCTTATCCAGGAAGGTCTCGCAGAGCTCGGTGAACACACGGCAGTAGTTGAGCACCCTGGGTAGGAAAAGCAGCAAGTCAAAGGGATGGGCATGGGATCACACAGCCCAGCATGGAGAGGTTGGGGCTGTGCAGTTAACACGCTCCTGAGCTTGAGCTCAGGCCAAGAAACACCAAGTTCTGCTTCAGCTTTCAGTCAGCAGCTGGGAAACACAAAGGGGAACTTGGCTCTGCTCAGTTCCAATCAGCAAATGGTATGAAATGCTCACATCACCCCATTGCAGCTGAGAGGACTTCTCCAAACCCACAGCATGGGGCACAGGGACAACATGAGCAGCTTGGGTCTAAGGCAGCCCCATGAAGGTGGCACGTTTCAGAAGGCAAAGGTACCAACCCGCTTTAAAAGTACACCCAGGATGTCCCAGTGCCCAAACACTGGGTGAGAGCAGAGCTGCTCTTCTGACAGAAACAGTTCAGTGATGATCTATGAGCCTGCTCTGCTTGAAGATGGTAATGGAGACAAAGGGGAATGGCTTGAACCTGCCCAACAGGAGACTGAGCTGAGCTCTTAGGCAGAAGCTCTTCCCTGTGAGGGTGCTGAGGCGCTGGCACAGGGTGCCCAGAGAAGCTGTGGCACAAACTGGCTTGGAATCAACTGGGGCTGCAGGTCAGGGGGGTCCCATCAGAGCAGCAACGTTTTGTAGCTGCCAACATGTGTAGAGCACTCAGGTCAATGTGCTCCATCAAAGGATGAAGGCTTCTGTTTCTCCTAAGACAAGAATGAGGAGCTTTTGACCCAGTGGGAATAGCTGAGCTGGGTATGGGTATCTGGAACAACAGGTTGCTTCTAAACTCTGTTTTAAGGGTGGTAAAACATCAGCTGCAGCTCAGGACACTTCCTTGCTCTTAACCCACCCCAATGAACACCAACACCACATCCAGCACTGCTGACAGTCCAAACCTGAGCCCAGCCTCATGCCTGCAGCACAAACCGGTGCACCAAGGCCAAGGAAGTCATCTGCTCACTTGTCTTTGCTCCACAGACACTTATTTGCATTGCAGACTTCAGAGTGCTGCATGGAAACCAACACCGAGTGCATGCAGGCGCTGGCACAGTTAATGCTGGTGCTTCTCCTCCCTTCCCAGGCTGGAAGCTCACTCACTTGTCCAGGTCCTCCCGTGCTACAGCCATGTGATAGGCACTCTCCAGGGTGAGGACCCCCTGGAAGAGCTGCAGGGCCAGGGGCAGGTTGGTCTCCACGTTCTCAATGGCATAGAGGGCTGAGCACACACAGTCCGAAGCGGCTTCGTGGAGGTTTGATGATGTCTTGTCTTGTTGCTGCAAGGAAGGAAAGAGCCCAGTGATCGTGTTCTGGAGTGAGATGGTGATGGAAACACAGGGGTTTGTTCTTCTTGTGCCCAAAATGCATTGTAGGGGTTCAAAACACCCCACAACTCACTCCCACCAGCCCTGCAAAGCCTGTGCTGCTTCACCAGCCTGGATATTTGAGGTCCAAACTGCCCCCATCCCACTGAGTCTTCCTTGAAAGAAGGGAAAACCCCATCTGAAATCCATGGAAGTTCAAAAGGAAAGGAAACACAAGTGCTGTTCCTCAGGGGTTGTGTTGCCTGCCCTGTCCCCATCCCTGGCAGTGCTCAAGGCCAGGTTGGACACAGGGGCTTGGAGCAAGCTGCTCCAGTGGAAGGGGTCCCTGCCTGTGGCTGGGGTTGGAGCTGGATGAGCTTTAAAGTCCCTTCCAACCCAAACCATTCCGGGATTCTATGATTCTGTTTCCAAGAACAGGGAATGGTTCTGAGCTCTGAGCTCATATTCCCTGGATCAATCCAGAAGAAGGGCAGGAAAGAGTAAAACCAAAGGAGCTGCAGAGCCTCTTCCTTCCACACAAACAGCCACACACACACACAGAATGTTCTGTGAAAGCTCTCACAATACTTCTGGTCCATCAGCTTTGTCCCCACATCAAATTCCTGCACTAAGGACCAAGTACACAGGCAGAGGAAACTCCTAAGGGTAGTTTTAGCTTCTCCCTTGGGACCTTGCTCTTCCCTGCCTGCTCGCAGAGCAGCACACCCTGCCTTGTGGAGCTGATGGAGGTAAAGAAGCAAGCAGTGGATTCCTGCTTGAGAGAGGAGGGATGAAACCCACTTCCCCACCTGCTGGTCCTCAAAGCCCACCAAACCCTCACTGCCAAGAGGAATACTCACCAGCACCTCGAACAGGAGGGACAGCAACTTGCTGTTTGCCATGAAGGTGCTGTCCAGGACGCCCAGGTTGAACCAGCTCCCCAGGCACCGGAAGATCTTGATGAGCATCTTCTCGTCGTTGCCTGCTTTCTCCACACATGTCATCTACAGCAGGACAAGGAGGAACTGGTTAGGAACCCAACAGGTAACTCCACAAGCAAAATAACATCTAATTCTTGGATAGCAGCCTTCCAGTATCTGAAGGGGGCCTATAGGGATGCTGGGGAGGGACTCTTCATTAGGGACTGTAGTGATAGGACAAGGGGTAATGGGTTAAAACTGAAACAGGGGAAGTTTAGATTGGATATAAGGAGGAAATTCTTTCCTGTTAGGGTGGTGAGGCACTGGAATGGGTTGCCCAGGGAGGTTGTGAATGCTCCATCCCTGGCAGTGTTCAAGGCCAGGTTGGACGAGGCCTTGGGTGATATGGTTTAGAGTGAGGTGTCCCTGCCCATGGCAGGGGGGTTGGAGCTTGATGATCTTAAGGTCCTTTCCAACCCTAACTATTCTATGATTCTGTGAGTGTCCACAATTAGCATGAAGAAGTCCTCCATGAATCTGGCAAGACAAAGAGGGCCTGGGACAGTCAGGACAGACCCCTCCAAGAGCACACAGAGCATGAGTTGGGGCAATCCCAAGCACAAACACACGCTGGGAAGAGGATGGATGGAGCAGCCCTGAGGAGGACTTGGCTGCCCCATCCCTGGCAGTGCTCAAGGCCAGGTTGGACACAGGGGCTTGGAGCAAGCTGCTCCAGTGGAAGGGGTCCCTCCCCATGGCAGGGGTTGGAACTGGAGGAGCTTTAAGGTCCCTTCCAACCCAAACCAGTCTGGGGTTCTACGAGTGTTCTATCAAGCAGCACTGTTGGACCCACATGGAAGCAAGAAAAGCACTTTGAGTGTTTTCACTCATTCCCAGTTTCCTACAGGATCCTGTCTCAGACCAGTGGAGCACGGACACAAATGAGTTTCCTACGTGATAAGCCCCTAAACTCAATCCCATCTCACTTTACATTCCTCATCACAAAACAACCATTGCCAAAGAGAAAATGGGTGACAAGGGTCAGATTCACCCCAAAGGCCACCTTGATCACCTGTGAACCATCATTCCTGAAAGGAACCTTTCCCTTGCCAGGCTGAGGGAAAGGAAGAAGAGGTGGACAAGCAGGACCTGGAGAAGGATCCCAGACTCCCTTTCTCCCAGAAGAGAGCCTGGATTGGCCAAGCAATCCTGACCAGGAGATCCTCCTCGCTTGACACTTCAAGCCTGAAGGTAGAATGTTGCACTTCATCACAGTATCCTTTCGTAAATCCCCTTTTTGTCACTCAAGAAAGGGAATTTGCCATTTAAATCCTATGGAGAAGAATTAAAGGTGGTGAGGCACTGGAATGGGTTGCCCAGGGAGGTTGTGAATGCTCCATCCCTGGCAGTGTTCAAGGCCAGGCTGGATGAGGCCTTGGGTGATATGGTTTAGAGTGGGGTGTCCCTGCCCATGGCAGGGGGTTGGAACTGGATGATCTTAAGGTCCTTTCCAGCCCTAACTATTCTATGATTCTATGATTTACTATGAAAGCTCCTGGTAGAAGCAGAGGAAACCTGAACAGAAACTCTTATGACAGCACTATGTCCCTTGGTGACCCTCACATCGTGCTGGTGAGGCTGGGAGCAGGCAGTGCAAGGTGACACTGCCTGTCTCATTGATGTGACAGCCAGGCTTCTCCCACATGTCCTAGGGGAGGGCTGGAAGTTGCTGGGAGGGATGGCAGGACTGCAGGAGCGATGGTGCAGGGATTGCAGGAAGGTGAAAAGGGTTTCAGGAGTGAGCAAGGACTCGTGCAAACTCAAGCCTAAGGAAAAGGTGGCACCGGGCTCCCCCAGTGGCTGTGCTGGTCATGGCATGGAGCTCTGCTGGGGAAAACACAGGGGGAAGAGTCATCTCAAGAAGGTCTGAGCTGCTGTGGAGCAGAGGGAACAGCTCAACTGTGTGACTGCAGGGGGAGGATGAGAGGAAATGGCCCCAAGCTGTGCCAGGGAAGTGGAGATTGGATATGGGGAAAAATGTCTTCACTGAAAGCACAGCCAGAGGAGGCCATGGAGATGCTGTGAGGGCTGGAGCAGCTCTGCTCTGGAGCCAGGCTGAGAGAGCTGGGCTGGGGCAGCCTGGAGAAGAGAAGGCTCCTGAAGGGGAGACCTTAGAGCAGCTCCAGTGCCTAAAGGGGCTGCAGGAAAGCTGGAGAGGGGCTTGGGACAAGGGCCTGTAGGGACAGGACAAGGGGAATGGCTTGAACCTGCCCGAGGGGAGACTGAGATGAGCTCTTAGGCAGAAGCTCTTCCCTGTGAGGGTGCTGAGGCGCTGGCACAGGGTGCCCAGAGAAGCTGTGGCTGTCCCATCCCTGGCAGTGCTCAAGGCCAGGTTGGACACAGGGGCTTGGAGCAAGCTGCTCCAGTGGAAGGGGTCCCTGCCTGTGGCAGGGGTTGGAGCTGGATGAGGTTTAAGCTCCCTTCCAACACAAACTAGGCTGGGATTCTGTGATCCTCGAGACCACGGATCCTTGTATCTACATCAGCTACAACTTGGGGAACTCTGACCAGGAGGGCAGCAATGTGGCTGGAAGAAGAACGGGTGACCACAGACCCCCAAGTGCAGGGCAGGCAAGCACAGGGAGATCGAGCTGCAGAGCAGGGGAACGGCTGTTGATGAGGTGCTGCAATGAAACACCCCAAACCCTGAGTCCATCTGGAGCCTGGTGTCATTCACAAGTAGCTCAGTGGAATCACAGGCTTGTGACACGCTGCTGAGGGGATGTCATCTTTCTTTCTTTAGATAAGCAGCATGAAAGGGTAGACATTGATGGGAAGCTCTAGGGACTATGGCACATGCTCCATTTGAAGCCTGAGACAGACAGGGTTGGCTGCTCTTTTATGGGGTTGGCTGCTCTTTTACAGAGCTCAAACAACGCCAAAGAACATGAGAAGTTTCCCTGGCAAAGAAGGAGCTGGCAAGGAGCATTTCTCTTCAGTCCATGAAAAGATTTATCTCAATTCTTATTCTCTGCTCCCAAACTTGCTTTCTTTTGGGGTCCACAACAGTCTTGTTCTTTGAGAGCAGGAATAGTCCCTGAACGGAGAAAACTTTGGAGAACCACCAGGAGATTCAGCTACAGTGTCCCTGTTTGCCAAACACCAAGTGTGACCTGCAGCAGATGTAAAACTTCAGCTTAGCACAGCATGGTCAGAAACTGGGAATGTTCTTAGCTTTGAAAGGGAGAAGACAGAGAAAACCCAGGGTTTAACTATCTGAATGCCTTGTTTCTAAGAGACAGAAGTTCAACAAGGCCAAGGAGCTACAAGAAACCTGGAGAGGGGCTTGGGACAAGGGCCTGTGGGGACAGGCCAAGGGGAATGGCTTGAACCTGCCCGAGGGGAGACTGAGCTGAGCTCTTAGGCAGAAGCTCTTCCCTGTGAGGGTGCTGAGGCGCTGGCACAGGGTGCCCAGAGAAGCTGTGGCTGCCCCATCCCTGGCAGTGTTCAAGGCCAGGTTGGACACAGGGGCTTGGAGCAAGCTGCTCCAGTGGAAGGGGTCCCTGAAGGTTGGACTCAATGATCTTTAAACCCCCTTCCAACCCAAACCAGGCTGGGATTCTGTGATATATCAAGACACAAGATGTGCAGATCTCAAGATGATGACCTAGACACCTACATACACACACCCATAATGGGCTGAAGTTGTTTCTTCTTTAGCCCTCAAACACCACAAAACTAGCACAGCCTGCACAGGAATCCCAGCTTAGCCAATGACTGGACCTAAAATCTAGGAGGCTAAAGAGCTCTTCCTGAACTTACAGCACAGGATGCTGGAAGAGAAGCCTCCAGACTTGGTACCACCAATGAAATCAACGCAGTGCTCACAGGGACAGTCTGGTTGAGAGATGAGACAGCTGAGTTCCCACAACTAGCTCTGTTGTCAAACCAGTGCTGACAACAAGAATCCGACTCTGATTTTGTTCTGCTTGGAACTGAAATATATAAAAGCATCTTGTTTCATGCATCCCACCTGGAATAGCCTGGACCAGTGATGTAGAGGGGGATAAGAATGATGGAGCCTGGGCAGAGAAGAGATTCAGAGCAGCCCTGTGGAAAAGGACTTGGGGGTGCTGGTTGATGAGAAAATGAACATGAGCCGGCTTCAGTGTGCGCTTGCAGCCCAGAAAGCAACCGTATCCTGGGCTGCATCAAAAGGAGTGTGACCAGCAGGCCAAAGGAGGTGATCCTGCCCCTCTACCCTGCACTTGTGAGACCTCACTTAGAGTATTGTGTGCAGTTCTGGTGTCCTCAACATAAAAAGGACATGGATCTGTTGGAACAAGTCCAGAGGAGGCCACAAGGATGATCAGGGGACTGGAGCACCTCCCATATGAAGAGAGGCTGAGAAAGTTGGGGCTGTTCAGCCTGGAGAAGAGAAGGCTGCGTGGAGACCTCATAGCAGCCTTCCAGTATCTGAAGGGGGCCTATAGGGATGCTGGGCAGGGACTCTTCATTAGGGACTGTAGTGATAGGACAAGGGGTGATGGGTTAAAACTTAAACAGGGGAAGTTTAGATTGGAGATAAG